CTCAAGTTGAATCTGCCTCTGTCGCCGTTCCTCGTCACTTGCATGAGCTTTGGGTCCATGCCGAGGCCCAACGAGACATATACAAGGGTTTGTGGGAGGCGGGCAATGCTGCTGAGACCGCCTTTGAAGAAGCTTAGGCCAAGGCGCGCGAGGCTCGTGTCAATTGCTGCTATGACCCTGCGACACCGGAGGCTGGTGAAGATGCTGATGTCAGGCACTGGTTGCCTGAGGACAATGATGGGGAGGACGACGGTGATGATGCCGAGTGAAAAGTTGCTGCTGCTTTTGTACTTTTTTTTCCGTCTTCTTTTTTGGGTATGTTTTGGCCTTTTGTAGGGTGTCGCTATTGCACACGTATATATAAATAAAACATCTGTTTCGCCTTTGTATATCTTTTGACTTTCCTTCCCTTCCCCTTGCTTGTCTCATATCTTTTTGTTTTAGCGTAGACCTTCGGATTTTTTTTTGTGACGAGTCCCTGATCTTTCGATTTGGGAATCCGACCTTAACCGGATCGAGTAGGGTCTTGTCGCGTGAGTCTGAATGAAGTCGTTTCGGACCTGTACATCCGGGCAAGGTTGACTTCCGATTTATCGCTTTTGGATGAAGTCATTTTAGACTTGAACACTCGAGTGGGATTAAGTTCAGACTTGACGACTTGGGCGAAGTCAAATTTTTTGTGTACTCGAGCGGGGTCGAACTTGGAATGGTCGTTTGGATCGAGGTCCATTTCTGACTATCTGAACGAGTTTGAATTTAGAGTCGCCATTTTGGGCGAAGTCGATTCCTCACTTATATTCGAACGATTTCGAACTTACTTTATTTGACTATGGCCGGCGGCTGTGAAGGTGTTGTTCTGAAAGAGGTCGGACCGTAACCTACCTGTTTTGACAATGGCCGATGGCCGTAAAGGTGTTAATTCGAGCAAGATCGAATTGTGTCCTATTTGGTTCGACGATGGCCAGTGACTGTAAGGGTGTTATTTGGAGCGAGATCGGAATGTTAACCCGTCATGATTCGAGCGAAATCAAATTCTTCTTTTGGAGATGGCCGTTGGCCGTAGGGGTGTTATTTCGCGCAAAGGTCGAAATGTTAACCCGTCATAATTTGAGCGAAGTCGAATTTTTCTTTTGGCGAGGGCCGTTGGCCATAGAGGTGTTATTTCGAGCAAAGGTCGAAATGTTAACCCGCTATAATTCTATCGAAGTCGAATTCTTCTTTTGGCGATGGCCGTTGACCGTAGGGGTGTTATTTCGAGCAAAAGTCGAAATGTTAACCCATTATAATTTGAGCGAAGTCGAATTCTTCTTTTGGCGAGGGCCGTTGGTCGTAGGGGTGTTATTTCGAGCAAAAGGTCGACATGTTAACCCATTATGTCATTGTTATGTGTATTTTTTGGAGGACTTTACACGTCGTTGTACTGTTTATGCGTGCATCGGGGCGAGCCCCGATGTGCTCGGCTTTGTTTTTACTGGAGAATATCGGGCGTCCCCTGGGTGATTCCCAATTTACTTAACTTCGTTGTTATTGGAGAATACTAAGCGCTTTCTGGGTGAGTCCCAGTTTGCTTAATTTTGCTTTCATTGGAGAATACTGTGCGCTCCCTAGGTGAGTCCCAGTTTACTTAATTTTGCTTTCATTGGAGAATATTGTGCACTCCCTGGGTGAGTCCCAGTTTGCTTATTTGCTTTCATTGGAGAATACTGTGCGTTCCTTGGGTAAGTCCAAGTTTGCTTAACTTCTCTTTCATTGGAGAGTTTATTTTTTTGATAGTTGTTCTGTACTGAGCCATTTTTATTATTCGTGATATGCTGCGGTTTGGGGGCTTTGCTCGGTCATTACTTGTGGGGCGATATGCTGCGGAACCATCTCGGGGGTGTTTTGGAGGCGTTGGTCCCTCGCTCGCCGACCCATGCGAGTGCTCGCATTCCTGTTTGAACCAATAAAAGAGTGAAGATAAACCAAAATGAAATTTTATGTTACCTCGACCCAACAGGTCAGTGAAAGAAGGAGCGACGTTGTAGGGTTGCTCACTCCGCCTGGTGCTCGAATGGTAGTTTTAGATTTGGAGACCGTGTTCAGCTTTGTCGTTAACAACGTCTGGGCCTCTCACGGGTTGAGCCCACCTCATTCACTAAAATGTTGAAATCGAGTCCCGGTCCGATCTCGTCCGATTTGCACAAACAACAAAGGAAACATGTCACACTTCGTTTATAGACCATCCATTGTATGGGGGAATGTAAAAATAGGGCAGGGTGTGCCCGCTCTTTTGAAAGATCGCACAACAGGTCGTCGTCCCTTCCCAAGGGGTGGAAACATGGGTCAATAAATAATGTAGATACGTCAAATGGGGTTGTGGTCATGCTAGACATTCGTGATCCTATTTTAAATGTGCATATGTCGAGCCAAACCCATCATTACAGATGAGACGTGGGTTCCTCATAGACATTGGTTATAACTTCTATTTTACGTAGCAACCTAATCTAGATTGGTGCGGTCATTTTGAAGGCTTAGCTACCACTCCTTCGAGTTGGTGTTAGTGCCAAGATGGTGAGGCCATGGCATCCTGGTAGTGATATTTCGATGGTTCTAGATCTAGAGGAAACTAAAGAATTTGGCTAAGAAATCCCCACAGACGGTGCCAAATTGCTTGACTAAAAAAGTACTAAACTCTTTAGTTAAACTAATTAATAGGGAGATAAAAGGTAAATCTTAGCGAAACATAATTAACACTAGATCAAGGCATGCTGAGTATAAAAACCGAAAAGGAGCGAGCTCATATAATATTTCTTAAGATGATTAACGTACATCAACTATAAATGATAAGCTAACATCTGTTATAGGTTTGCACCATAATCATAAGAATATGGAAGGAGAATAAGAAAAAGTGCCAATGACTGAGAGATCTCCCTTTGTTGATGTCACGACCCAAACCGATGGGCCGCGACGGGTGCTTGAATCCTAAGATATAAACCTGAATAACATCTGTTGAATTATGAGAATAATATACATGAAGGAAACCTGCCCAAAAGGCATATGTACATATACGTGAAACATACGTAGGGCGAGCCGACAAGGCTGCTATAGACAACTAAGTATCTCAAAACTGGAAGCCGGCAATGCCACATACTATCCAACTAGACATACTATCTACAGACCTCTAATAGAATCATAATTGTACAAAGATGGGACTGGATCACGTCATACCCATACATACACACACACACACACACACACACACACACACACACACACACATATATATATATATATATATATATATATATATATATATATCGTACCAAAATCAAAAGCAGCTCCAAATCAAGTGGAGCACGCCAACTCTCGCTGATCAAGGATCCTAAGAAGGGGGACCGTCAGCTTGCCTACCTGCACCTGCGGGCATGAAACGCAGGCCCCGTGAAATAGGGCGTCAGTACGAAAAATGTACTGAGTATGTAAGGGATGAAAATCAGTACGTAAAAGACATAGATGAAACATGGAATAAAGAAATTCATCTGTGAATCTGAATAACTTTGTTTTTTCTAAAACATTTATAATGTCATGCATGTGCGCATAAATGTTGTGTCATGCATAGGTATGGGTGTACATAATATCATCAAGCCACTGAGGGCATCCCATCATATCGTCTCGGCCGCTGTGGGCAACATCATCAACATATACCAACTGATCAGGTGGTGGTGCGTATATAACGCCGTAACCTTTTTTCCATATCCCATATACATAAATATATACATATAAATACGCGTATATAACACCGTCTGGTCATGGGTCAATGTACATGCATAAATAAAATAAAACACATGAAAACATGTTTAAAATCTCAATATTCTTTTCGGATATACTTTATCAACTGCGTATTATTTGAGACCCATAAACAGAAGATATAACAATATGTTACATGGGGAATCAATAACAAAGAGACCCCTAGTCGTTTATGAAAACTGTGCGTTTGCTCGTTTCTTCTGTATAACTTAGAGCATGCCAAAAAGAAAAAAGTGATGGCCTTAACATACCTGGAGTAGGAAAACTCCGTATAATATTCTTAAAGATTGCACCATATTATTTTGTAACCGCAAGATTTTGTTGGAACTACGCTTCTATTCCTTGAATATGTTGAACGAAATTAAGCTTCTGTTTCTTTGAAAATGAATTAGGCTTTTGTTCTCTGAAGTATCTTGAACTAGGAAGAATGGAACATGTCTCTTGCTTTAGAATTTTTAACGTTTTTGGTTCTTCTTTTGTCCAAATGGAGTGGACAAGATTTTGATATTAAATCTTACTTTAGTATTCTAATTGTCCCGAGTTAAGACACTTATACATGGAATGACTTAAGAGTCATTCCCTAATTTGTGGCCTTCTGCCACGTTAATCTTATCTCATGTTTTTAATAATTAACTAGGTAATGTTCTGTTATTCGATAATTAACCAATTACTCGCATAATTAAAAATTATCTCAAATTACTTAAAATTTTACTTATTTTTAATATATTTTATACATCATATTATCATGGCCATATGGTACGTTGTATGGTACTAGTCCATAAACATCGGTTAGTATCGCTCGACCCGTATTTTATCTCAAATTGGCACTTTCAATAAAACTCGTTTTTTTAATTCGTGTACCCTTTATCCTTCATGACACTTATTTATCGCTTGTTATAAATAGCGTAAATACGTTAACCTCAAGATAATATCATCCCGAGTCTATGTCAATTAACTGAAGACGAAACTTTTATCGTACGAAAACGCGAGATGTAACATCCTTCCCCCCTTAGGAACATTCGTCCTCGAATGTTCGACTCCCCAGGATCGATATAACTTTGCCAGGGTCGCCTTTGTAACACCATTACTACCAACTCTCCCTGTAGAATCTTAATAATCCAACGTCACACAGGACCACAATCATCAATAACGACAATGGCCTCACACGACCAACGACAATAACCAATACAAGAATTTATACATGTACCTTATGGTTATGACGTCTCAGTCGGATCCTTCTCTGGAGGAGGAAATAAGTAGGGATATCTTGACTTCATGTCTATTTCTTCCACATTATTATTTTTCCAAAGTACTTTCACGGAGGCTACCTCCTTATTCCGTAGCTTGCGGATTTGTCGGTCTAGGACAGCAAGCGGAATTTCCTCGTATGACAAATCCTCTGTAATCTGTACATCATCCGTGGGCACCACTTAGGTAGGATCGCCAATGCACTTCCGTAACATAGATACGTGACCAGATGGACAGACTCCAATTCCAAGGGCAATTCTAACTCATAAGCTACTTGTCCCACTCTCCGAATGATCCTATAAGGCCCAATATAATGTGGGCTAAGTTTGCCTTTCTTGCCAAATCTCATCACACCCTTCATAGGTGACACCTTTAAGAATACCCAGACATCAACCCCAAACTCTAAATCTCGTCGCCGCACGTCAGAATATGACTTCTGACGACTCTGAGCTGTCAACAGTCGATCCCGGATCAGCTTTACTTTTTCTATGGCTTGCTGAACTAGGTCTGGCCCATCTAATCCAGATTCTCCAACATCAAACCACCCTATAGGCGACCTACATTTCCGTTTGTAAAGAGCTTCGTATGGAGCCATCTGAATACTGGAACGGTAGCTATTACTATATGTGAACTCAATAAGCGGCAGATGATCATCCCAGCTACCTTTGAAGTCTATTACACAAGCTCGTAACATATCCTCCAGTGTCTGAATAGTACGCTCAGCCTGTCCATCTGTCTGGGGATAAAATGTTATACTAAGACTTACTTGAGTCCCCAATCCTTTTTGGAAGGACCTCCAGAAGTTAGCTATAAATTGAGCCCTTCTATCCGAGATAATTGATATAGGGACACCATGCAGTCGTATTATCTCCTTAATATAAAGCCTTGCATAATCCTCTGCGAAATATGTAGTCCTAACAGGCAAAGAATGGGCTGACTTTGTAAGCCTATCAATAATCACACATATTGAGTCGAACTTACGCTGGGTACGAGGTAAGCCTACGATGAAATCCATATTGATTACATCCCATTTCCAAGTCGGAATCTCCATAGCCTACAATAACCCACCGGGTTTCTAATGCTCAATCTTAACTTGCTGATAGTTAGGACACCGAGCAACAAACTCCGCTATATCTTTTTTCATTCCGTCCCACCAATACATTTCCCTGATATCATAATACATTTTTGTCGCTTCTAGATGGATAGAATAACAAGAACAGTGAGTTTCTCCCATAACCTGCCGACGCAGCCCTGTAACATTAGGCACACATAATCCCCCTCGATATCTGAGGACCTCATCTTCTGTAATTTCAAACGGTGTCTTCTTTTTTTGAAGGGTGGTATCCCTATAATGAACTAATATTCTCGTACTGGAGTTCCTTTACTTCAGTTACTAAAGAGGATGTTGTCGTATCCTGGATAGTAATTCCAATATCACCTGAGTCCAGTAACCGAACTCCAAGACTAGCTAGCTGATGAACCTCATGGGCTATTCCCCTCTTTTCTGGCTGTAAATATGACAGGCTACCCATAGATCTACGGCTGAGGGCGTCGGCTACTACGTTTGCCTTCCTCGGATGGTATAAAATATCAACGTCATAATCTTTAAGTAGCTCCAGCCATCTCCTTTGACGTAAATTCAATTCCTTTTGCTTGAAGATATACTGGAGGCTCTTATGATCTGTATAGATATCAACATGAATGTCTTACAAGTAGTGCCTCCACATCTTTAGTGCATAAATCACCACGGCTAACTCTAAATCGTGGGTCGGGTAGTTCTTCTCGTTCTTTCTTAGTTGTCTAGAAGCATAAGCCACAACCTTACCATGCTGCATCAGCACACAACCCAACCCAACGCCTGAAGCATCACAATAGATCACATAATCATCGGTCCCTTCTAGGAGCATTAGAACTGGTGCTGACGTTAATCTGTCCTTTAATGCCTGATAACTCCGTTCGCAAGCATCAGTCTATTGAAACTTTGCTCCCTTCTGAGTAAACTCTGTCAAAGGTGCTGAAAGGGAAGAAAATCCCTCTAAAAATCTCCTGTAATAACCTGCCAAACCAAGAAAGCTACGAACCTCTATCGGTGTTGTGGGTCTAGGCCAAGTCTTTATTGCCTCAATCTTTGTGTATCCACCCGGATGCCATCACCCGAAATGATATGCCCAAGGAAAGCTACATAGTTCAACCAGAATTCACATTTAGAGAATTTTGCATACAACTTCCCTTTTTGTAGAGTTCTGAGCACAGTACGCAAATGATCTGTATGTTCAGCCTCTGAACGAGAATACACCAATATATCATCGATAAATACAATTACGAATAGAACTAAAAAGGGCCTGAACACGCGGTTCATCAAATCCATAAATACTGCTGGGGCATTGGTCAAACCGAACGACATAACACGAAACTCAAAGTGCCCGTATCTGATCCTGAATGTTGTCTTCGGAATATCTTCATCCTTAACCCTTACCTGATGGTACCCGGACCTCAAGTCTATCATTGAAAATCACTTGGCACCTTGCAACTGATCAAATAAATCGTCATTCCTTGGGAGCGAGTACTAATTATTCTTAATCTTCACCTTATTCAACTGTATATAATCAATACGCATTCGTAAGGAACCATCTTTCTTTCTCACAAATAACACAGGTGCTCCCCACGGTGATGTACTAGGTCTGATAAAGCCTTTTTCAAGCAAGTCCCTTAGCTGTTCCTTTAACTCTTTCAGCTCTGCGGGGACTATTCTATAGATATTGGATGAGTATCTGGTAGTAGGTCAATGGAAAACTCAATTTCTCTCTCTGGTGGAAGACCCGGAAGCTCATCGGGAAACTCACTAACCACACGGATGGACTGAATGGTTGGTGACTCTACTTCCATATCCTGAACCCAAACTAAGTGATAAATACAGCCCTTAATGATCATCTTCCTTGCCTTGAGATAGGAAATAAATCTACCTCTCGGCGATGCTGTATTACCTTTCCACTCCAAAACAGGCTCCCTTGGAAATAAAAATCGGATAATCTTTTATCTACAATCAACGTTGGCATGACAAGAAGCCAACCAATCCATACCCATTATAACATCAAATTATACCATATCTAACTCGATTAAGTCTGATACGGTAGATCGATCATGAACTACTATTATACAACCCCTATATACTTGCTTAGCTATCACTGAGTCCCCAATAGGTGAAGACACCTCAAAAGGTTTAACCAACTCAGGTTTTATTTCAAACTTACTAGCAACCAGTGGAGTAACGTATTATAAGGTAGAACCTGGGTCAATCAGTGCATATACATCATATAAGGAGACTGATAATATACCTGTAAATACATCAAGCGATGACTCCTGGTCCTGTCATCCTATCAACGCATAAATACGGTTCTGAGGACTGCTCGAGCTAGATGCTCCGCCTTTGCCTCTACCACGAATCATTGGTGCTTATGGACCTTGCCTAGGGGCGTACTGATGATGACGAACCAGCTACAGATCTCGCTGGCTGACCTACGCTTGCATCACCTCTCATCGGACAATCGCTCATAACGTGTCCCGGATAACTACAAGTACAACAAATACCTAATCCCATACGGCACTGCCCAGTATGCTGCTTACCATATTGAGCACATCGTGGCAAGGGCGGCCTCATCTGACTTGACTCACCCCTATACAAAAATTGAGAACCTGAGGCCTTAAATTCTAAAGCAGACCTTGAATATGTGGAACGATCAAATCTCTTACCGCCAAACTGAGGGGGCGCGGTAGCCGATGGCTGGGCTAGATACCTCGGGTACTGTTGCCTCTGACCACCTCGAAACTCACCATAAGGACCCAAAGACCTTGCTCTCTTATTCTGGGCCCTATCATGCTCACGATCGACCCTCTGTTTCTGCTTATGCTCCTCTACACCCTGAGCGTATGTTTGAATACGAGAAATTTCCATGTCTGGCTGAAATGAGACTGACATACAATCGTTAAGCAAGTGAGGCTCTAATCCCATTACAAATCGGTGAACCTGATCCTCCATCTTAGATACAATAGTGGGAGCATACCTAGCCAATGAATCAAACTGAAGATTGTACTCCCGAACACTCATGTTACCTTGCCGAAGAGTCAAGAACCTATCAACTCTGGCCCGTCTCAGCTCTAGTGGCAGATAATGACAAAGAAAAGCTTCTGTAAACTCCTGCCATACTGCTGGAGGGGTATCCTCACCTCTGGACAATTCCCAAGACTCGTATCAATTAACTACAACATCTCAGAGTCTATTGGAAGCTAGCTCAACTGACTCAGTCGTAGTGGCCTTCATTATCCTTAACGTCCTCTGCACTCTATCAATATATACCTGAGTGTCCTCGTTTGGATCTGCTCCAGTGAATACCGGAGGGTCTAAATTAATGAAGTCACGAACCCTCGCACTGAAGGACCTATCTGCATGACCAATACCTACTTCCTGATGCCGAGCCTGTGCGGCTACTAATCGGGTTAATATCTAAATAGCATCTCTCATCTCCTAACCCGGTGCATCTGGCTGAGGAGATGGACGTACAGGGGTGGGCGCTGGAGCTGGTGCCCTTCAGAGCTCTTCTGGAAAGGGCGGGGTATGGGAAGTCTGAGATGGAATTTCACTATGAGACTCTCCCTGAGCCCTGGTAACTCGGGGCGCTCGACTAGTAGTCTCACCAGCCACGGACTTTCCTTTCTGGGCGGCTGTAGTCTTTGAAGGCATCACTGAAAATATAACATGTCGTTAGGAACATGAATTTCTTATATTGCACGATCTAAGATAAGAAGAGAGGATAACATCCTATATGTCCTGTAGCCTTCTGTCTATAAGTGTGGTGCACAACACACCCATAAACAAGACTCTACTAGACACAGTCTGTAGACAACCCTAGGACAGAACTGCTCTGATACCACTTTTGTCACGATCCAAACCGATGGGCCACGACGGGTGCCTGAGTCCTACCTGTCAACCACCCCTAAGCAAGCGTCTAAGATATGAACCTAAAAAACATCTGCTGAATTACGAGAATAATATACATGAAGGAAACCTGTCCAAAAGGCATATGTACATATACGTGCAACATACACAGGGCGAGACGACAAAGCTGCTATAAACAACTATGTATCTCAAAACTGGAAGCCGGCAATGCCATATACTATCCAACTAGACATACTGTCTACAGACCTCTAATAGAAATATAACTGTACAAAGACGGGACTGTGCCACGTTATATATATATATATATATATATATATATATATATATATATATATATATATATATATATATATATATATATATATATATATATTGTACCAAAATCAAAAGCAGCTCCGGATCAAGTGGAGCACACCAACTCTCGCTGATCAAGGATCCTAAGAAGGGGGACCGTCAACTTGCCTACCTGCACCTGCGGGTATGAAACACATGCCCCGTGAAATAGGGTGTCAGTATGAAAAATGTACTGAGTATGTAAGGCATGAAAATCAGTACGTAAAAGACATAGATGAAACATGGAATAAAGAAATCCAGCTATAAATCTGAATAACATTGTAAATTCTAAAACATTTATAATGTCA